TTCTCAAAAACAGTACTTTTACAACAAATTCTCTTAAACAACAAGATTTTAATCATCAATTTTAAATTAATTATAAATTTAAAATCATATAAAAATATAAAAAAAAGAAATTAGAGTGATAAAAAAATAAACAATGTCTATTTTAGTTATTTTAATATTAAAAGATCTTTTATAAAAAAATTTACCAAACAACTTTTTACTCTACAAGTACTTTTATAAAAAATTTTACCAAGCACTTTTAACTTTTCAAAAACAACCTTTCCACAACAAATTCCTTATAACAGAACTTCTATTAAAAACTCTAGCCACACCAAACAAGCTCTAAATAAGCTAGATCTTATGTTTTAAAGGATGTTGAAGGTCGTCAATTACCATTCATTTGGAATATAAGCAATTTGAGAAAATATTATAGTTAATTTTTGTAATTATACTTTTTGAAGAACATTATAATATAGATTTCCTTAATGCTAAAAAGACTATTCATGGTTGACAAAATCTGTCATTTTCATTCATTTTGAATTTCAACTTTCAATACATTATCCCATATTGGGCTGAGACACAACAAAAATAAAATATAAAAAATGGTATCCCAAGTAATTGTGGCCATAATGTTTAGTTTCTCTAATTGTTGAAGGATTTGGCATGCAATAACATCACTACTCTTGTAGATGTGGGGAAGTTGGCTACCATTCATCTTGCTTCCACCATAAATTCTTTTGAAGGCACTAACACCACATACCTTATCCATCACTTGGTTGTCCTTCAAGTCAACTGGAAGCACGAGCGCTGTGGGGACATCTATTAGAGTTGGAGGGTGAGATGATAAAGGAAAGGAAGAAGTTCTAGCTCCCAAGTTAGGCATTCTAACTACCCAATTGGTATAGCCTATGGAAGGATAACACTCCTCACCTTCATCGAGTAGAGTTGGAGGGAATAAAGGTGCATTCTCTTCATTTATGCTCCATTTCACATTAATTGTAGTCTTAAACGACAAAGCCAAACTTTGCCCTTACTCATTAATTTCCTCACCCTCTATGAAGGTGAGCTCGCTAATTGGGAAGTTAGGCTAGTGCCACAAAAACTTGCCACAAACCTCATTATAGATGTTGATGGTGCTGTTCATAATGGCAATAACGGCAGCCTCCAAAAAGGCATCCAACCTAAGAAACCACTCTACTCCTTGAGCTCAGGCCATGCTGATGGAGTTATGAAATGTCTTCGTCATGTTGTCTAGTAAAGCCTAGACGTGCACCACCATGTGATTAGCATCAACTGTCCTTGCTTTAAAAGTGTTTAGCTCACTCAAGGCTTGATCTTTCTCCTTATTTGCCTTTTTTGTTTCCTTTAGAGCACTAGCTTATTAGAGCTCAACTTCTCTTTTGGTCGTTGAAATACTCGCTCTCCTTTTTATCTAATGCCTTCTCCAACTCTTCCTTGAGCTTGGACATTTGGTTGGTGAGCTCATCTACTTTACTTTCAATAGTAGCAACTTGGTTTGCCATCTTGGAGCCCTGTAGACAACTTTCCTTCTCCCACAAGCTAGCTTTTTCAACAAGTGCACATTTGCAATTATTCGATACTTTGTTCACAGCTTATTAAACGCTCTACTCGCACTCATACATGGCCCCCACATAATTAAGTACTTGTGATTTAGCTCATTAACTTAGTTCCTTCTATAAATTACAAACAAAATAGGAAACAACTGTAACTCATCACTTACATCCATCATCTTCATCATGACAGCGTTGTTCCCATACTGTTGCAAGAAGTCTCTCCCCTTTTATTAATCAATGAGAAAGATAAAATCATGCATGCCCTTTACCATTACTCAGTGGCAATCCTTCTCCAAATGGTTGAAACTTTCTTGGTAAGAGATTTTGGGTGCAGCCCATTTCATTTAAGAAAGGTCAGCTTGGCCACCACCGACAAGGGTAACACTTGGTACAATAAGGACAGCTAGTGTAGTCAGTCCAAAACCAACCTGTTGTCAAGAAGAGGCTGGTTCCTCTATAACCCCTCCATTCTCTCGTACCTTTCTATTAGAATCATTGAGAGTTAGATCCTGTGTGTAGGCTTGCAAGTCTGTTAAGTTGCCACCAGTTCTTTCATGTTGTGATGAGTTGTGATAGACAGACCAGGAACTAGATCCACAAGTTGTGAACATTGTTGTTGGTGGCTTGTCAAAATGAGATGATCTCTTAGATTGTCCCAAAATCGTTCATTGTGTAATGGAACCCCAGTCCCTACTTTGTTAACGTTGAGCTTGTTCATGCTATTTGTCCAAACCTCCAGCCATTTCTTCTACAAAAATAAACATAATAAGATTTAGTCAGTATAATTTTTACTCTAAAAGTAAACATATACCTAAGACATAGAGGTTTATCACATCCAAAAACCTAAACGTCTCCAACTGCATAGAGGTAACCAAGATGTTCAAATCCACTATCCCTTTTTTTTTCAATGTGACTTAGGATCCTTCTCTTAATTTTAGTATCCACGATCCAGTAGTGGGAAAATTCATGTAAGAGCTTAGAGTCTTCCACTTTGAAATATGAACTGTGAGCTCATCATTTACCCATTTTGTTCTTAAGTTATGCACAAAAATATATCACCTTTTTTAGGCTGATACCTTATTCTTCACATTGTGGAAAATAGTCATCTTATCTCAGCCTAAGATTTAAAACCACATGGTTTTCTTGCTAACCTATTTTCATTGAAATAGAGATAGAAAAACTACCAATCTTGTAGGCATCCTGAGGTTCACACATAATAGCATAAATCCTATTATGAATTTTATTGAGTTGGGGGTCAATTAAGTCAATGCTAGGCCATACTCTACCAACACATCAAAAACCATCCCTAGCAAAGGAAGTCTTAGGCTAGCCTTAAAATCCTCCAGATACATTGGAATCCAACTGTTTGCAGGCACCAAACACACCTTTTCATTTGCAAATGCTACCCGTGCCAATGCTGTACTAGGAATCTAATATTGTTTCACTATTAAGTCTAGCCTTTTCAACCTTTTAATGGTGGCCTTACCATCTACCACCTTGTGGTGAAGGGCCACTTGAATTCAAACCCTGTTGCCAAATCCTCCAACGTTAATCGAACGTTACCCACCAAGTTGGCATGAGGGGGCACATCTTCCCAGCTTCCTACACTGGGGGCCTCCGTTTTCTTCTTCTTCATTTGTTCCAAGGGTTTCAATTTCCCCTTTTCCACCTCCACCTTCACTGATGGTTTTTGTTTCTTTTGATGAAAAACTTGGGCTACTATTAAATTCAAGAGGTGCATCAACATTAGGCCTATCTTGTTGCTTTGGCAACACAACCATAATAATAGGTGAGATTGATATCACCCCTTCTTCCCAATTGTCTTGGTTACCCCTACCTAGTTGCACATCTTTAGAAGAATCCATGATTACTTGTGTGTTTATGGGTGAGATGGTTATTTATGCTTCCTTCTAATCCTTAGCTTTTCTAGAAAACCAACAAACATTCACAAAAATGGCAAAAGGAAGTAGGAAAAATGGGAGAAACAAAGAGAATGAAAGTAAATAGAAATGGTTGAAATGCTTGGTACAATAGCTCTCAGTTTCTTTTACTCACTAGATTACGTATATCTCAATGGTTATACCCATGCCTCTCCCGGGACCAATAAAAACACCCCACGTGGCAATCATTCATAACTGAGCATTTAAAGTGAGGTAACCTTCGCTGTGATGTCCTTTAAAATGCTATGTTAGCATTTATTAAGGGGGTAGTGGAGATATGGATTAACTTGAAGAAAATCGGCAAAACCCCACCGATTGCCCTTCAACTTTTCGAGTGTGTGAAACTTTACCCCTCACCTTACAATATGTGATTTTATACCCTCTTGGTATTCGAGTTTATGATAATGAGGTAATTTTTGACATTGTGGGGTCACGTGCAACCCTCAAAAGTTGTAAGGTGAAGGATAAAGTTCCACACACTCAAATACCATGAGGGTATAAAATCATAAACTTGAATACCAAGAAGGTATAGAATCAAATATTGTAAGGTGAGGGGTAAAGTTCCACACACTCAAAAAGTTGAAAGGCAATCTATGGGCTTTTGCCAAAGAAAATCTCAAAGGATATGCTTTTCAAATTTCAAAAATTTTCATTGAATAAGCTTGTAAATTATGCTAGGAGATCACATGAGATATGTTTTTCAAATACGAAATTTCCTTCAAATAAGCTCGTAAGTTCTTCTAAAAGACCATGGGTGAGCTTGTTAAGATTTTGCTATGGCCAAACTTTGATTGGGCTTGTGAAAATTTTAAAGAGCTCTCAAAATAGATGAGTTCGCCATCCTTAGCTTGCAACTTCTTACCCTTAGCTCATTTGAGTTAGCTCATCAAGGCCAATATTAGGCCATGTTACCAATTATAGTGCTTCATTAACCAAACAGTAAAGGGGGAGTAATGTTGGGGAGTCAGCCGAACATTGGCAAAGAACCAACAAAGGCCCAAAAAGGAAATGAACAATGATAATCTACCCATGTGACCAACAACACATGGACTAATTGGACGAAGACATGTGGCATGGGTGTCATAAATGAGGGTTATAAATATTGCTCTCCTACCTCCATGCAAGGCAATAACTCTACTACGCTTTTCTTTCTGCAATATCTAGTTTTGAGAGCTTCTCTCTTTAGAGTAATTAAATATTGCTAACTTGAGCATTAGAGTGTCTTCTCCAGGGATACTTTCTTGGGATTTTCAAGTATCGGAGCAATTCAAGACCTCAGCAGCACATGAGCTCGTGAAGTTGCCCAAACAACACTTATCTAGCTTTTTTATTTTAGTTTACTTTATGAAATACTTATCTAACTTTAAGTCTATACTTTCATCTCGAATTAGGGACATCAATTAGCTAGAAGGCTCTTAATAAAGAGAAGCTAGTCACGCACCTCTCTCATTAACTTTGGCTTTAAAATGACATGGCAATATGATTCAAGGGCTTAAAGGACATGCATGCACAAAAGTGACCTTGAGGGGCTCAATTGATACAAAAGTTAATTAGAGAGCATGATGGTCAAAAAATGAAATAAATAGTCTAGGGGGCCAAACATTATGGTTTTCTTCCTTTAAATTTAATTAATGTCATTTTGTATATGTTTATATACATGTGTTTCAAAAAACAGTAAGTTATATATTTCACAAGAAAAAGGAAGTGGTGGTTCAAAATGTTTTTATTAATGTAGTTTTAATTTTAACAGTAAATTACCTTAGACCTAGCTCCTAAGTATGCTAGTGCTTTCACCTTAACGATACCAATAGGCAAAAGCTTTATTAACAGAATCCTATTAAGCCCAAAAACTTATAAGAAAACACAGGATATAAAAAAACCTGCACTGCCAATAATTTAAATATTCAATGATAATCTAATTTCTTTGAAAATAAGAGGTCTTAAGTTTAAATTGCATGAAATGCAAGTGAAGTCAGATGAGATAAGAAGTAAAAGAGAATTAGCTCTCATTATACAACCAATATATATATATATATATATATATATATGTATAAAACTTGCACCGTGAAAAGGTAGAGGTAGAAAAGCCATCTGTTATACAGCCACCGGCGGACAAGTAGCTGAAGGCCCACCGACATAAGTGGCTCTAAAGGGGAGATTGAGTTCGTCCTACACTTAGGCTTAGTTTAAGCATGTTAATTTGTAACTATAGTTATAGGTTTATTGGTCTTTTAATACCCTAAAAATTTATAAAATATATTTTAGATATTTGATATTTATTTTAAGTAATATTTTATATATTTTTAAAATAAAAAAATAAAAAAATAAAAAAAATATCAAAAAGTGTTATCAAACGAAACCTTAACCTTAAAAAAGTTGAAAAAGTCCAGTTTAATTAGGAAAGTTGAATTCAAACAAAGATTCTTATTAGGGGGAGAGAATATAATTTGGTTGCTTAATATTTCTAATTCTTTCAAGAGAAACATATATTTTATTGTATTGAAGGAAATTTGTCAACAAGTTATTATTAATTAAAAAGAGGATGTGCGGAGGATACCGGCCCAACAACTCGTAAGTGACACTCAAGCTTATTGAAATAATTCTTACATACCATCAAACTTATCTTAAAGATCTATAATGTGATTGGTCAAATTATAGGTAAAATAGTATTTTTTTTTCACCTATCTAAGATTTAAACTCTCGTTCTCTCTCTCTCCACTTATCTCTAATGAGCAAGATGGCCTATTCTATTAAAAAATAAAAATAGACACAACCCACAATTTTTTTTTTTTTCATGAAATAGACAAATTAGTTGAGACCCTGATGTAGAAAAGAGTGAAGAAGGAGAATGAGTGTTCGAATTTTAACCATACAAATGAGAAAATGCCTTTTTGTCAATAATTTAACCAATTACTTTACAAATCTTCCTAAAAAAACTTATGATCTTAAGCTTTAACTCATAATTAGTTTCACAATCCCTACTTAACACTAATAGTAATATTTGCCTTTAAAAAAAATATTAGTAGTAATATTTAAAATTTATTCCTTTTATTCCCATAAAAAAATTTAATTTGTTTATTGGTGGCCTGCATGATTCAGTAAATTATATATCTATTTACGTAGCTTTTCTATACACATACACACATGAGAAAAGTGTTTTGTAGGTCATTTTTTTAACTTTTTTTTAAAGAATATGTCTAAAAACTCATCTTCTAATTAATATTTTTTAAAATCAACCATTAAATTGAAAGTTTTATTTATATAGATTATGCATATTAATTTTAAAATTATTCTAATAGACCTAACTACTTCCTTAATTATAAGAAAATTTAACGTCATTAAATATATATCAATAAATTAAGTTCTTTTGATGATCAAAGGGTTATAAGTATTACATTAATATGAAAATTGACATGTATGATTTACATAAATAAAATTTTCAATCCAATGATTGGTTTTTAAAAATATTAATTAGAATATAAGTCTTTAAATAAATCCTTAAAAAAATTTTAAGAGTACGACATACTCTACACTATCCTCTATATATATAAAAATATTATATATATATATATATATATATCTTTTTATGTACTATTTAATGTCAAATGTTTATTATAAATTATAATATCAAATACTATAAGAATAATGTATGCATATTAGGTTGTGGTTGGAATTATTGTAAAGTGTTTGGAATTATTGTAAAGTGTTATAACTCTGACTATGTTATAACTATGACGGTGGTTTTTCTAATATTCTGTACTATGAAAGAAGTTAAGTTATTATTTGATAATTGTTTTAAGAAAAGTCTTATACATTAACAGGACTATGAAGTTATAAAAAATATCAATTAAAATTAATTTAATGGTAATAAATTAACATTTTTATGAACTGTCATGTGTAAAAAAGCATTATAAAAAAGTAACTGCCAACACAAACTTAAAGACATAACTCCCACTTTCTTTTTTCCACTTCTAATGATAAACTAAATCATAGAGATAATATTTTTTTTTTTGATAAGCAAAAAAATTTATTTATTTTTTAATGGAGCACAAGGGGTGCTCCTGTCCTTATACACATAAATGAAATTTCATAAGCCAAACAGTCCATTACTCTAAGAACAACCATCAGCGCATAGAAAAAGATACAGCTCAGTATAATAGACAATGATCAAACCGCACCCCAGGCTTTGCTCTTTACATCTCAGCCTCAGGAGAACCAGGTTGAATAAGCCTCCCCTGTTGCTGCTTAAAAACCTTCAAAGACCTCTTGTACCGAGTCAATTCCCTTGCACATTCCACTGGATTATTTTGCCACTGACCAAAAGAAAAAACAGACCCCTCTACCTTATTCCTGATCCATAAATAGGATTTACCTTGAATTAATTCTAACAATTGCTCCCTGATATCCCCATGCTTCTGAAATACCAAGACATTCCTCCAATACCATATATACCAAGCAACAACAAGAA